GATAAGTAAAATAGTATACACAAAAATGACAAGACATGGCAGGATTAGAAACATAAAAATACTTTGAACTGTGAAAAGTGTCAAACAATAGAGTTAGTATTTTTCCTAGGTTCTTCATAGCATACAATGACTGTACAAAAATTATCACATGCATGCTTTGTACAAAGTTTGCTCTCTAGCAAAAATAACAAAAATCAGCTATTAAAGGTACTTGAACTACACCTCAAAATTTTCCCACAGCACATGCATGAAACATATTTTTTTCTAGGAAATACATAACATAAGAAGATTAACAAACTTGAAATCATATTTTTCTGAAGCCTATAGATTTTTCTACATATTTTTCAAGTTATCAGCAATATTCATGATTAAATAAAATTCTACAAAGAAAGTGTCTCAAAATGACATGCACAATTTTTCCCAAGTAGATCTGATGATAAGGAACCTAGACAAATTTATTTCAACAGATTTGGAGCGACTTTGAGTACCCAAACATTTTTCAAACCATTTCAAATTTCAAATAATAAAGAATAAATGAAAAACAATTCATTTAAACGATTTGGGCCAAACCATTGAAATCAAGCCCACGACCCACTGCTGCTCATGCTGCCCGCGCGAGCGCAAGGAGGGGGAAGACGGCCCAAGAGGCGTCACCCCCATCGCCGCTTTACCGGCCGGCCTGGGTGGTCGAGGCAGAGTGCTCGCCTCATGATGTTTGCGCTGGCAATGGCAGCTGCTTCTACCACGAGGTCGGCGGCCATCTCCGGCCACGGCAGGGCGAACTGGCGAGCGCACGTGATGCGCTAGAAGAAGGCGAGTGTGGTAGGGTAGCTAGGCGGGGCTGGAGAAGAGAAGGAAGTCGACTTCCATGGCGGCCGAGCACGCCGCGCCATGGCCGTCGGTGGCGAAGCTCGGGGAGGCTCAACCTGAGCTCGGAAGGCGGCGCAAGCGCGAGCGCGACTTGAAGGAGGGCGAGGCGGAGCTACGGGCGCGCGATTTCCGGCCGAGGTGGAGGAGCCGCGGCGAATTGCGCCGGCGGGTGCGTGGGCGCGGCGAGGGGCAGAGCTTGAGGCCCTCGGCTCTGGAGGAGAGGGAAGGCAACATGGGGCGGGGAGTGAGCGAGCGACCGGGCATGCGCAGCAGCTTGAAGGCGGGCGGGCGCGCGCAGGTCGTGGTCTGCCAGGCGGGCGGGCGCGACGCCGGTGCATGGTCGCCACGCTGAGAGCATCCCGACGCTGATCGGGCGTGGCGTGGCGCGACGGGCAAGCGCAAGGCTGGAGAAGGAGCCACACTGGCCGGGCCGGCGCGGGCGGGGGGCTTGGCTGGGCGCTACTGGCCGGGCAACAAGCAAGCGAGCTGAGCGCAGGCGGCGTCCCGCCAAGGAGAAAAAAATCCTTTTTCCAAATATATTTTCAAGAAATTTTTAAATGCCATCTTTCAAATATTATTTTGAGCAAGAAAATGACCTCTTTTGAAAATGTACCAAAAATGAAAGTTGCTTAGAATTTAATTCTCTACATTTTTTGCTTTTAGGACCACAGCCAAATTCTTTCTAGATTTTGAATTGTAAGATCAAAGTCGACGTTTAGCTCAAAACCCTAATTTTGGGAATTTATTTTTGAAGCCAAATTTTGAATTAATTTGAATACAAACATTGCTCCAAAAATTGAACTAAACATTGCTAGATGATTTACAATAGTAGCCAAACATGTTTTACTAACCTAGCAAGAAAAATTCAGGGCAAAACAATTCTTAAACAGGTGTATGCAACATTCAGGTTTCACGCATGTTTCAGATGTTTCAATTGTTATTCACATGATTAAGCATGTATGATTTGGATGCTTGATGATGCATGATATGCGTGATTTGCAGTGCCTAAATGTAGGCATAACACCGGGGTGTTACAGATGACATCAGGAAGGGAGTTGCACCGCTTCAAGAACATGCGGATGTAATCCCGCAGGGACTCGTTGGGCTCCTACTGGCAGCTCTTGAGATCCTAGGGGTTCCCAGGGCGAACATACGTCCCCTGGAAGTTCCCGACGAAGACCCTCTTGAGGTCCGCCCAGTCGCAGATGCTGTCGCGCGGGAGGAATTCGAGCCAAGCTCGAACATGTTCCCCTACGTAGATAGGGAGGTACTGAATGATGAAGTGGTCATCATCCACTCCACTGGCTCGACAGGCGAGCCAGAAGTCTTCAAGCCATATACCGGGGTTCGTCTCCCTGGTATATTTGACGATGTTGGTAGGTGGTCGAAAGCGCTGTGGGAACGACGCTCTCTGGATGCGTCGGCCAAAGGCCCGTGGTCCCGGGCCATCCGGGCTGAGACTCCGGTCGGCGACCGCGCCTGGGGTGCGTTTCACCACTCCCCGCGATGGTCCGACCGGGGTCTATGTCGCCTGCCCTCACTGCCGCTCGATGGACGTCATCATCATGCTAGGCCCGATGCCGGTTGCTGATGACGCTGCGAGCGTTTTGGTTCGGCCCGAGCCGCTCGCGCACAGGGGGCCGGTGTGGAGTGGGCGTTAGGTCAGACCGTGGCACGGCTGCGGCCTCCTGCGCCGCGCTCGACGGCCATAGCGGTGAGCGGATGGAGCGATTCGTCTAGTGCGTCCCTACTCCCCTGGTGGAGAGAGAGGCCGCGAATCGGTGTCGCGATGCGGATCTCTCCGCCTGTTGAACGACGGCGGTTTCCACCAGTGCCCGGAGGTTCCGGTGGATCGCTTGTTCCTAGGGGTCGTTCGGCTCGGGAAGGCCGCACAGAAGCATTGCTACGGTGACGATGTTCTGGCCAGCCCGAGCGAACCATGGGGGATCGTTCCCCCCGTCCATGATGTTGCGCTAGACCTGGCGAGCGTGACCTCGGGCCCCGCTCGCCGGGTTACGCGCACGAGGCGTAGCGTGGTGCGCCGAGCGCGCCGGCGCAGGTGGCGGCTGGTTTTACCGCCGTTGTCGTAGCTCCTCACCGTGCTTTTGTGCGCACGCGAGGGCCCCCGCACAAGGGTCCGGAGGGGTGTAAGTCTGCAAGGACTCCACTACCAGCTGTCCCGGAGCGTCCGCCATAGCGCACTCCCAGGACGAACGGTGGCTAGGTGCCACGTCGTCGATGCTGGAGCCATCACTCTCAACCTCGTCATCTACGAGTTCGTAGAAATAGGTGGGAGCGTAGCTCGCCAGCCCCACGAATTCAGATGTGAGAGGAGGCGGCGTCAGCATGTTTCGGAGCCCCTCGACGTACGTGTCTGTGGGGGACGCGAGGCCATAAGGGGACCGGTCGAATGGTGGTTGCGGTAGGGACAGCAGGGTCCCTCCGGAGAATTGGCAGAAGATAGTAAATAGCGAGTAAATAATAGCATATACATTACTCACAACAGAGTTTGAGCAGAGCGTTTGCTCAGAATGAAGCGCAGGCGCCTCATCGTTGAAGTCGTCGGGTGTCCCAGAGCCGATGGAGGGCGCCCCTCCGACGGGCGCCGAAACAAGTGCCTCCTCACGGAGGTGTAGTACGCCGAGCCAGTCGGCGACGAAGTCTAGGCTTTCGAAGAGGAAGGCCTGGGACGGCTCGAAGATGGAAGGCCCCCGCATCCCAACAGGTGGGAGTGCGGGGAACCCTAGTAAGCCGAAGCGAGTCGTATCGCTTGAGCCCGCCATGACGAAGGTGGCGAAAAAGTGGGCCATCCGATGACCAAAAGTGTGAACGTACAGCTTCTTCCCCACGGACGACGCCAACTGTCGGTGCAGAAAATGACCGACACGTAAATACTTGTAGTTTTGCCGTACGTTGTGATCGGATGTGGCCTAGCACTCAATGACACAGGGTTTATACTGGTTCAGACAACGTGACCTACGTCCAGTTTGAGTCGATCAGTGACTTTATTCATGAGACCAGGTGCTCGAAGTTTACTGTGGGGTTACAAACGGAAGGGAGAAAGATGGAAGATACAAGGGATCCGGTGGAACTCTGGTCTGAAGGACCGAGAGTGACAGGAGCTCCGCTATGTGCTAAGTGTTCGAACGTTTGTTGTTCGTTGGAATCCTTGGTCGTTCGGATCGTGTGTTATTCGAGTTGTTGTGGACTGATTCTCCCCTTTGGGAGAGAGTGCACCCCCTTTTATAGATGAAGAGGATGACCTTACAAGTAAGAGAGAGAGTGTACGCATGCTAAGTCTCGTTGCCCACGCCGTCGGGTACAAGATGATTGTAGGCGCCCATAACACTGTTAATGTCACATGCATGTGGGAGATTGCGTCTTCTTCTGGTATGGCAGATGTCAGTGCCTGCCATACTGTTGATTCCCAGAGGCATGCAAGGTGTTTTTACTATACTCGTCTGGTATGGGAGTTTGCGGGCGCCCACAACACTGTAGGGCAAATGTCGACACCCACAACACTGCTTGGGTTCTGACACGCCTGAAAGGTTGCAGGGCACTCTTCTGACATGTCCTATCGGTACTGTCTTGTAGGAGTACAGGGTACGGTCCTCGGTATTGCGGTTGACTTGAGTGCCATGCCTTACTTGCTTCGTTCGTTTCCTGGTCCTCACCGAGCGGGCGTCCCCGGTCAGTTGGTCCCAGTTGGTTCCGACTGCGCCAGTCGATGAAGAGCTGCAAGCAGGGGCTCGGTGCGTCCCCGATCGGAGACGCGGGTCGGAGTTCGGAAGCGGTGTTTGGCCAGGCCTTCCGGTCGGAGAGGCGGACCGGAGTCGGAAGCGAGCGTTGTTCCTCCTTAGCTAGGTCTTCTGGTCGGAGATTGGATCGCCCTTCTGACCTGTCGTTTAGGTGTTTGGGCTGGCCTAGAAGTTTGCGCGTCGTTCGCAAGGTCGTCTGCTGGGCCGAGCTTTTGCTGGAAAGCCGGTCCATGAGGGACCCCGGGTTTATGAACCCGACACCTCCCATCTTGAAGCTGGAAATATATGCTTATTTTTCTCGTAGCAATGCCTCTCTACAACCTTCCCCGCGTGAGACTGCAGTTATCAAACATGAGTTTAGAATGCAGCATATCATATGGGAAACTGAAAAGTACAAATAAGACATTGTGAAACGTCAGTCACCTCATCCTTTTCTTTTGTTGCATCGGCAATGGTACGAACATCCTCATGAACGTCAAAATGGAAAAGCTGTCAACAGAAATCAGTGTCATTAAATGTTTAAACTCTAATGCCATGAAGAAATAATTCATCTGGAATAACAAAACAATCCCTTAAGCATCTGTAAACAACTAGAATTACATAATCATTTGGTTTCAGATCCAATATTCCTTAAACTTGTGAATTAACGAGGTTAAGGAAGAAAGAAGAAACTGCTAGACTCCCTTGATGAAATGAAAACAGTGATCAGTTGTAAGAAGCCAAATATTACATAAGCTGGAAACACCAATGGAAAAAAAAGGAATTGCACAGTTGTTTTTCCAAAAGCTAGGAAAAGCTTCAGAACAAACAACACGTTTTTGAGCAGAATATATCCACATCACAAAAGAAACAAGAATTACCGGTCCACTCTTGCCCCTCGCTTTGTTGATAATTAATTCATAAAAGCTGTGTTGCTGTCAAACAAATGAGAGAACATGGAATCAGAAAATGGTTGGACTTACTTTAACATAACTTTGTAGATTACAAGAGAATGAACACATACATGAGGGATGATAAGATCTTCCTTCACATAAAGTTGATTCTCAACTGAAGTTGTCCGTACTTCACGGAATTCAGGGGCAAGCTGCTGTTGAACAGCACTTAGGAATTCTCCAATGGAGTCACCTTTACGGACCTGGCATCATAGTAAGCTTTGTTTTCATTGTACAGTCCACAGATCAAAAGCTTAGAACAGACAAATAAGAAGCAAGTTCACCATTGATTAGAAATTAACCTGGATAACTCTCCTGTGCCCAGTCCCATCCCAGTAACTGTAAGTAATTGAAAGAGGTTCATCTGGAACGCGACATAATGGTTAATCAGTTAGGAAGAAATTTTATCCAAAAAATTGTGACTCATAGTAGATTGATTAAAGTGAGCAGTTCTATCAGAATGTGGCAGTACTTTTGATCAATTCCTGTTCACGCAACCACTGCTTCTTCAGTCGTTCTCGTTCTGCTTGTTCCTCCGCCTCCCTTTCTCTGAAGGATCACTCTTAGCAAACAGCTTGCAGGTCAAACAAAGCTTGGAAATGGAGAATCAATCAACAATCCTAAGTGGTAGTCATAAACCAACAGAAATACCTATCGGGTAGAAAACTTGTCTCGACAGTTGGATCCTTTCCAAGTTTGACAGGGCCATTTTTCTTGGTTTCTTCTGTACAGAGAAGCAAGAATATGTGCATATTAGCTTAAGAGTAGTTCTATAATTCTTTAGTAATGTCAAGACACAGAAATATTGCTGTTGGCACTGAGCAAGGATTAAGACATTCTACATAAAGCCCTGTGCAAGACCTGTTTAATTCAGTTTGGTGTTTGTCTACAGGTGAACTATACATGAAATGATCTAAATAGCAGGATCATGACGATAACAAGGGTTTTGCCACAGTTGCATCAATCAAACTTCATTTCATCACCAATTTAACAACTAAAGCAAAGTTTAAAGCAAATGATTGCCACAGAAGTAAGATCTCGAAATCAAGGCTGTAACACAACAGGAAAAACAAACACATAAAACAATGCTTCACAAGAATTTGAAAACTATGATGGAAAACACAATTATCAGAAGGAAACTAGTACACAAGCAAAGAATATACGGATGTGGTACATTTAATATCGTTCATCAACTACGTCATGGCTATGCTAACAAATGAAATATGAAATCATAAACTACAACCAGCCCACACAAGTGGGGAATATAGAAACAAAGCCAAAAAAAACTTGGTCAATGCAATAGACAGAGATGTGTGCAGTGCACCCCCAAAATGAACAGATCTGCTTATGAAATGCACATAAATGAGGTGAGAGAACAAAAAAATAGTAAGACCACAGATAGGTTAGAAGGACCATACGTTTCTTAAAATCATCTTCATCACTTCCATTCTCAATGTCGTCGCAGAAAGATAAGCGTGGATCACCCTTCACTCTCCTCTTTTTCCTTTTCTGCATTTGCAATTGTTCTTCTCTGAAACACACAAATCATTATTGTTTGGCTGAGGGAAGGAATTCAAAGATACTTGTGATTTGACCAGGCTTGAATTCAAAGTTCAAACTCACTCTTGTTGCAGCTTTTGAAGTTTTTCTTTCTCTTATTCCTCAATCTTGGTTCGAATGTTAACCCTCTACTCGGGCAGAAGGACAATAAAGACAATAAATTAGATGGAAAATCCCAGTCTTCAACAAATGAACCGGCAAATAATGATGTATATGTATGAATGAATGAATTGGCTAATTACCTTCTCGACATACTGCTCCCTGGTGACGAGACCAACTGTTTCCTTCTTAAATGCAGTCTCAAGAATCTGAATGCAACAGCAATTAACATTAACTTAGTAAAATTCAAGGTTATACACAACCTACAGCAACGACCTACTTGCAGAAATTCAAATAATTTCTAAACAAGTGAAGAGGCGTATACATGGTGTAGAAATTAAAAGACATAAATCAGCCTACACGACATCAAAACACACACAAAAAAAAACATATCAATTGGTCAATTCAGCAACAAAAACGAAGTGTGGAAAAGCTACTCGAAAGTGAATACTGAACCGTACAGGGTAAACTAAACAGAACACAAATCTCGTGCTGATTTTGCTAAATCACAAGTAGAGCTAACTATCGAGCAAAAATTACTCGCGATTACAAGAGAAAAGACACGAATCCTGGACGACAGTGGCAACAAGTGAGTCAGTGTCTTTTTCCCTCACTCGTAGCTTGGTGGGCAATTACAACGCATCGACAGGATTAAAGGATTCGGTAGCGAGACGGACAAAAGGGCAGGAACACGAAGCGCGCGGCCGTGACGACGATTACCTCGGAGGTGCTGGAGCCGAACTGGAGGAGGCCGGGCTGCCCGTCCGCGGACTTGTTCTTGAGCTCCTCGATCTTGCAGCGCTCCGCCTCGCGCTGCTTCTCCAGCCGGATCTTCACCGCGTCCAGCGCCGTTCCCACGTACCCATCGCCGAACCCCGACATCCTCCTCGCCTCTCGTGAGGGAGACTTCCCCCTCGACCTTCTCCTCCTAGGTCGGTCAGAGCGGAGTTGCCAGCTGCGGCGAAACGCGCAGCGGCCGGACGGAGGGTGGAGACGGCCCGCCTGAACAGGGCTCTCTGCTGCCTGGTGGACCCCTCGGGAGTGGGCGAGCCGCCGGGGTGCTTAGGTACGTGGGCCTAACCGACTTACACTTGTTCACCCTGATTAAGTTGGGCCACGTCTTATTGAGGCCCATAACAGCCCAACAGGTAACAGACGACTGCCTCGTCGTCGAATTTGCACTCATTTGATTTCACAATCCGAGAAAAGGTTACGCTTACTCAATAGGTCTTCAGTGAAACAGCATATACTGATCGCCATTCAAAAAGAGAGAGAGTTCAAAAAAATAGAAAGAAAAGAATTCGCAAAAAAAGATCGCCAAGTAAAAGGGCACAACGATTTAACTACCACTATCGAGAAGACGAGAATGATCCAATAACAAAAATAGGAGAAGTTTAACAGCCATACATGAACTTGTGTATGTTAACAAGCCAGGGCTACTTCGGATATAATAAGTTCTAAATTATAGGGTATCTTTTCATCCTAAGTCAAATTTCTTTCATTTTGACTATGATTATTTGAACTTATGTATGTTGATGCATTATTTTTCTAAAAAACCGGTCAAAGTTTAAAGAAATTTGATCTAGGATAAACCTAAATTTTAACGATAAAAAGACATAGCATAAATGACTCAGAATCTTGTTGCCAATAGACAACAAGCGACGGCAGGCATAGGCGAAGACTTTAGCTCCTTGAAGAATCAGATAGCTCCCGGTCCATTTTGGCTTTCGCGAGGAGCTGCAACACAGGCACAGCAGCACAATCACTACCGGAAACAGGATCTTTGCCGTGTGTCCAAGGCACATGGCGAAGCCTAAAAATCACTCGACAAACAGCACACGGCGTATATAGTGATGACAAAAGTTTATTTGCCGAGTGTTTTTTATCGGGCACTCGGCAAAGACGTTGCCGAGTGCTGAAACTAATGCTCGACAAAAAAAGTAACGTGACGACGCGAAGACGGTCACAGCGTGTTTGCCGAGTGTATAACGGCATCGGCACTTGGCAAACATGACCTTGTTTGCCGAGTGCCCCAGCCCTGACACTCAACAAATAATGCATGTTTGCCGAGTGTCCCGGCCCCGACACTTGGCAAATAATCCATGTTTGCCGAGTGTCACATCCCGGACACTCGGCAAAGACTGGTCATTCCAGACCCAACTTTTAGTCTCTTTGCCGAGTGTCCAGGCGCTGACACTCGACAAACATGTCTTCTTTGCCGAGTGTCACAGCACAGACACTCGGCAAAGAAATAATTTTAGCCTCAGAATGTACAGATTTTTGTCACGTGTCCGCTTTGCAGAGTGTATTTTTTATGGCACTCGGCAAATAGCCCTTTTGCCGAGTGTAACACTCGGCAAAGCTACCACATATAATCAGTTTATTTGGTTCGGTCACAGCCACGTACCACATTTAAATAAACATCACATCCATCACAGATAGTTCATAATAGGCATCACATGCAGTTCATATAGATATATCGACCACATCACAAATGCAAATGAACTTCACAATCACAAATGCAAATAAACTTTAGAATCACAAGTACATAGTTCCCGGTCGCTCTCCAGGCTCATCAGGAATGCAAATAAACTATGACCACGGTGACCACTATGACCACTATCGGTCATAAGGCTCATTCAATGCCGCAGATTGATTCTGCACAAAGAAGAAGAGATAAATCATTAACAGTGATTTAGAATGAAACATACAAGTATTAGAAATAAACTAGCAACTAGAAAACTGATTATGTCGGGTTCATAAACCCAGGGTCCCTAATGGACCTGCTTCCCAGCAAAAGCTTAGCCCAACAGTCGACGTTACGAACGACGCAGAACTCCTGGGCCGGCCCAGATACCTAACAACAGGCTGGAAGAGCAATCCAGTCTCCGACCGGAAGGTCTGGCCAAGGAAGGAACGACGCTCGCTTCTGACTCTGACCCGCTTCTCCGACCAGAAGGCCTGGCCAAGGAAGGAACGACGCTCGCCTCCGACTCTGACCCACTTCTCCGACCGAAAGGCCTAGACAAGGAAGGAACGACACTCTTCTTTGACTTCGACCCGCCTCTCCAACCAGAAGGCCTAACCAAGGAAGGAACGACGCTCGCCTCCGACTCCGACCCACCTCTCCGACCAGGAGTACACCGAACCTCTGCTTACAGTTCTTCTCCCACCGGCGCGGTCGAAGCCGACTGGAAAACGACCAAACGGGGACGCCCGCTAGGTAAGGACCCAAAGAATCAGTCGGAGCAAGTAAGACGGGGCGATCAACTCATCCGCAATACCAAGGACCATACCCTGCACACCTATAGGATAGTACTATCTGGTCATGTCAGAAGGGTACTTTATAACCTTCTAGACCTGTCAGAACAACGAACAGTGTTGTGGGCGCCAACATTTGTCCTACAGTATGGTAGGCGCCGACATTTGCCATATCAGAAGAACACGATGGAACCAACCATATGCATCTGGGCGTCAACAGTATTGTGGGCGCCAACAAACCGTCTTGTACCTAACGGCGTGGGCAATAAGACTAGGTAGCACATACACACACTCTCTCTCACTTGTAAGGCCGTCCCCTTCATCTATAAAGGGGATGCGCCCTCTCCCAACAGGGACGATCGAACAACAACACAAGACGAACAACATACGGATCATTTCGACTCACTCTCTGCTAGCTTTAGACATTCTAAAGCTACACAGAGCCCACGTTCGAATACTTAGCGCATGTAGGAGCTCCCGTCACTCTCGGCCCATCAGTCCAGAGTCTGACCGGACCTCTTACACCCCCATCTTACTCCCACTCGTTTGTAACCCCACAGCAAACTTTGAGCACCTGGACTCAGGAAGAAAGTCACCGACCGACTTAACTAGACGTAGGGGACGTTGTCTGAACCACTATAAACCCTATGTCATTGAGTGCTAGGCCATATCCAATCACAACGTACGACAAAACAACAAATATTTACTAGTTGGTCACTTTTCGCACCGACAGTTGGCACCGTCCGTGGGGAGGACGTCGTATGTTCACGATTTTGGTCATCGGATGGCCCACCTTTCCACCATCTTCAGCATGGCGGGCTCAAGTGATACGACTCACTTTGGCTCGCTGGAGTTTCCCGCGCTCCCACCTGTTGGGATTTTGGTTCCTCCCATCTTTGAGTCGTCCTAGACCTTCCTCTTTGGAAGCCTGGACTTCGTCGCTGACCAGCTCGGCGTGCTTCGCCTTCGCAAGGAGGCACTTGTCCCGGTGCCCGTCAAAGGAGGAGCGCCCTCCGTCAGCTCTGGGAACCCAGCGACCTAAACGACGAGGCACCTGTGCTTCGCTCCGAGCCTACGCTGGGCTCAAACCCCACTATGAGAAACGTAGATATTGTTGTTTACTCACTATTTACTATCTTCCACCGATTCTCTAGAGGGACCCGTTGTCCCCGCCGTAACTGCCATGCTATCAGTTCCCCTACGGCCTCGCGTTCCCTGTGGACGTGTATGCACGGGGACTCTGAAAGATGCTGACACCGCCCCCTCTCACATCTAAATTCGTGGAGATGGCGGGCTACGCTCCCGCCTCTTTCCACGACCTCATGGATGACGAGGTTGAGAGCGACGGCTCCAGCATCGACGATGTCATGGTACATGGCCACCCTCTATCCCGTGAGTGCGCTATGGCGGACGCCCCAGGACAGCCACTGGTGGTAGCAGAGTCCCTATAGACTCACAGCCCTCCGGACCCTCGTGCGAAGGCCCTCGCGCGTGCACAAGAGCACGGCAAGGAGCTACGATAAAGGTGGCAGAGCCAGCCGGCACCTGCGCCGACGTGCTCGGCACAACACGCTTTGCCCCGCGCACGTAACCCGATGAGCGGTGCCCGGGGTCACACTCGCCAGGTCCAGCGCAACATCATGGATGGGGGGAACGACCCCCCACAGTTCGCTCGGGCTGGCTAGAATATCGCCGCTGCGGCGATGCTTCTGCGTGGCCTTCCAGAGCCTGTCGACCCCTAGGAGCAGGCGGTCCACCGGAACCTTGGAGAGCTGGTGGAAACCACCACCGTTCACAGGCGAAGAGCTCCACGCCGTGACACCGACTCACGACCTCTCTCCCCACCGGGGAATGGGGGCGCACCAGTTGCATCGCTCCATCCGCTCACCTCTACAGTCACTAGGCGTGGAACAGGAGGCCGTAGCTGCACCACGGCCTGACCCGGCGCCTGCTCCACACCGACCACCTGTGCGTGAACACCTCAGGCCAAACCGAGATGCTCGTAGCGTCATCAATAACCGGCGCCAGGCCGGCATGATGATGACATCCATCAGGGGGCGATGAGAGCAGGCGGCATGGGCCGGACCGGACCATTGAGGGGAGTGGTGAAACGCACCCCAGGCATGGTCGCCGACCCGACGACCGGAGTCCCAGCTCGGATGGCCCAGAACCATGGGCCTTTGGCCGATGCATCCAGAGAGCGTCGTTCCCACAGCGCTTCCGACTACCTACCAACATCGCTAAATATACCAGAGAGACGAATCCCGGTATGTGGCTCGAAGACTTCCGGCTCGCCTGCCGAGCCGAAGGAGTGGATGATGACCACTTCATCATTCAATACGTCTCCATCTGCGTGGGGAACACGTTCGAGCATGGCTCAAATTCCTCTCGCATGACAGCATCCGCAACTAGGCAGATCTCAAGATGATCTTCATCGGCAATTTCTATGGGACGTATGTCCATCCTAGGAATTCCTGGGACCTCAAGAGCTGCCAGCAGGAGCCCAATGAGTCCCTATGGGATTACATCCGTAGGTTCTCAAAACGATGCAACTCCCTCCCTAATGTCATTGACATGGACGTCGTCAGCGTGTTCCTCTCTAGGACAACCTATGAGTCCTT